CCCGCCCCCGCCCACTGCGCCGGCGCCGCCTGGACGCTGACCCTGGCAGGTGGGAGAGTCGCCAGGTCCTGGAGCGCAGGTGGGCGGGCGGGCCCGCCAAACTGTCCCCACCCTTCTATTTTATTCCACATCTCCCCATAAACTGCACCTTAATGTGCTTCTGCAACTCGATTTTTCCCTGTAATATTAGATACATCCTTTTCCTTGTTTTTCTGCAGTTTCGTGCTCCGTTGTAGGAATAAAGCACACTTTACCCATTCAGTAACCGACGGCCATTTAAGTTATTAGCAGCATTGTGCCAACACGCACGCGCTTGCACACACACGCACTGCTGCTCTCGTTCCCATAGGTGTCTCCTTCGGGGCCACCTATGGTTTCTCCGCACCCGTAGCTGCCAGTTTCTGCAGGGTTTGCACCACCTGCAGCGTGCCTGAGTAGCAGGGTGTGCGCATGTTCCACTTTACTAAATATTGCCAAATTTCTTCTCCCAAGTGTTTGTACCTATTCACTACCAGCAGTTTAACAGCTTTTCTTTTTCACATTGCACCCCCTAGTCCACTTAGGGTAGGAATCCAATTTTTTTTCCATATGAATAACCAGCTCGCCATCATTGATGGCATAGTCCAACCTTTTCTCCTGGTTTGCAATGCTACCTCTGCCATACATATATAGGTTTTCACATTGTCAACTTAAAAAGCAAATTTGCCTGTTATTTTATTTCAAAACGAGTTTATTCGGGAATAGCCCAAAGAATTGCAATTCGAGATGTGCATGCTACGGCAAACCATAGGCAGATTCAGATAAGAAAGAACGGAAGCGGCTTTATAGAGAAAAAGGAGGAGTAGGGAGGGGCTGTTCTAAAGGAAAGTCCATTTGGGGAAAGGAGCGGTTCAGGGTGACAACAGCTTCTCATTGGCTGGGCTGTTGCTGGATGGGGAGAGAAATCTTCCTTCTTAGTGTAGTTGTACTTCCGTCCAGAAGGATAGCTGAGCCTCTTCCTGGTTTGTGTAATTGACCATGTGTGACAGGGTGTGAGGGCTCCCCCTACAGGCCTTCCCGACTCCAATTTGGTTAAGGTTTCTTTTATTAATTTCCACAGGGTACAGGATGGTAAGGTAACAGCTAGATCTTAAGTTAGCATGAGGGAAGCCATCTTAGGGAAAGGAAGCAATATTGTAACTATGATCCTTACTCACTAGTTTCTAAGAATGTAATCCTGCCTGCACGTAGCCTCGATGATTAAGCACCTCTCACTTTTGCAAAATACATGCTCTGCTAGTTCTGTGACTCTTGCTTACGTATAACTCCCAGCTGTGCTAAGATGATAACCTTATTCTCTGAGTTCTCCAGGAACATGACGACCTCCAGAAAGAAAAACTCTGCATTGGTACCCATCACGAATGACAGAAGAAAGAGATAATGTGGCACCTTGAAGTTCGTCAAAACAGATGGTCAACATCCCTAAACCCCCTCCTTCCCTGCCCATTTCCCCTATACAACTGCCTTAAATTCTGTATCATTTTAAGATGGTTCTTTAGGACACTAGTCCGCCATCTTCCAATTATGCTAGCTAGTCGTATAAACTTTCCTTTTGCAACCACTGGCTTGTTTGCAATTAATTGGCACTGGATTACGGCAAGCAGAATGAGCCCCTTTTCCCTTGGTTACAATAACTCAATGAATAAAAAAAAAATTAGTCCATACTGACAAAAAATTAAATTAAATAAGAGAGGGAAGTTCTTCACAGAAAAATGCCAACTAATAAATGCTGAAAGGATAATGAAATTAGAAAATCACCCCATTTGCACCAAGAAGTAAGTGATTCAGGCAAGAGTCATTATTAAATTCTCAATGACTGGGTGAAAGGTTCTTTGGGAACAGCATATTTACACAGTCTCAGAGCATCCACAGGTTACTCATTCACAAGAGGAAAAAGGGAGACTTCTGGCAGAAATCACCTGAACCACACAATCAAACTTACCAGACAATGGGACAAGAGACACTGTGTTGACTCCCGATATAACGCAAGAAGGCATGTGTCGACACAAATAATCAACCCATCTACAGATAAGAGAGATATTTAATGGGCTAATGTTGAGGGCAAGCCCAGATGTGTTCTCTTCCCCAGGGAAGAAAGCACTCTGGGGAAGTGTGGTTTACAGCGCGATTATATACCATTTCAGACCAAAGAACATACATTAAGCATAATAGGAATACAATTTTTTTTCCCCCAAAGTCACAAGGAGATGTTTTGCTGCAGTTTAGCACATACACAGCAGGTCCACTTGACCTCGGTTCTCTGGGAAGAAAAGCTTATCATCAAAGAAGTACTGGTATTGGCATCAGAGAGAAAGAGAAAGAGAGACATCTGTCTCTATCTTTTTTTTTTGGTGAGGAAGAGTGTCCCTGAGCTAACATCTGTTGCCAATCCTTCTCTTTTTGCTTGAGGAAGATTGTCCCTGAGCTAACATCTGTGGCAATCTTCCTCTATTTTGTATGTGGGATGCCACCGCAGCATGACTTGATGACTGGTGTGTAGGTCGGAGCCCGGACTCCAGGCCCACGGACCCCAGGCCACTGAAGCAAAGCAAGTGAACTTAACCACTATGCCCCCTCGGCCGGCCCCCCATCCCTATCTTTAAAGGGTGCATTCTTTGCTTTGGGAAAATGTTTGAAGCAGATGTACAACGCATGTGTGGCGGGCCATAAATCAAGCTGCTCTGGGAAAAATAAGTTGTAGGCCGAATCAGGGTTAAACCAGAATGGCTTCCCCGTATACCTCAATATGTGAAAACACTATTTTCATCACATCACGTCATCTGTGTAGTATAATATCCTGCTTAAAAATGCAGAATTAAACGCAAAGAGGAAAACGGCCAAATCCAAATCAAGAGACATGCTGAAAAAGCTAGCCTTGACTCTTCAAAGTTGTCACAGCATGAAAGACCAAAAAGATACAATAAAACAAAATATAAAGACCGGGGCAGCACTCTAGATTAAGGAAGACTAAGGAGCCATGACCACCTAAATGCACAGTGTGGTTTCCCAATTAGATCCTGGGTTTTTAAAAAAAGCTATAAAGGACATTATTGGGACAACCGGGGAAACTGAATATGGACAATATATTAGATAATAGCATTGGTGTCAAATTTTCAGTGTGGTCATTTTATTTTGGTAACATAGGAGAATGTCCTTGTTTTTAGGAGACAGATATTGAAGTATTTAGGAGGAAGGTATCATCTGAGGCTAACAAATGGTTGAGGGAAAAAAGGAGGTGGATACACATACACACACACACATACACACAAAGTAAATGTGGCAAACTGTTGACAGCCGCTGAATCCCGGTATGCGGGTGTTCATTTTACTATATATTCAACTGGTTTGTATATTTGACATTTTTCAAAATAAAAAACTGCCAGAAAGATGTATAAATGTCTCTCCGAGAGACACAGAGACGTGTCGACCAGATCCCTCTGCCAGGAAGACCGGTGCCCCAGGTGTTGGGAGTGGGGTCAGCAGACACCTCTGGCTGCCCACCCCTCCAGGGGCTGCCTGGGGCGTACAGCTGCCCCGCCCAAGGTCATGCCCTGGCAAGTGTGGCTCGGGTCCAGTGACTGATGGAGGCAGGGGCATATGGTTTGGCCATTCCTGCCGGGGGACACCTCTGAGGGGCTCCCTGGTCACCAGAGCTTCCCCATGTGGCTGACCCCAGCGAGGGGCATGCATGGAGACTTCTCCCTCTGCCCCACCCTGCTGCCTCCTCCCCTTGCATCTCTGCACAGGCGTGATCCCTACCCTAAACGCCATCTCCAGGTCACTTCCTAGGAGGCAGCCCTCCCAGACACCCCACAATAACACTGCTACCCACACACCCAATCTCTTACTCTGCTTTAATCTTCTCCATCCCACTTTTCACCATCTGACACCCTATATACTCACTCGATCGTTTATTGACTACTGCCGCCCCTTCCCCAATGTGAGCGCTAAGAGCGGGGATCTTGTCTGTTTTGTGCGTTGCTGTGGACCCAGCACCTGGACACTAGACGCTTTGTGTTTGCCGCGCGCCTGTAAAGCTTCCTTGGCAGAAGAGGGAACTGAGGCACGGGGAGCTAAGCAGCCGGCACACGACCACGGGCGGACGAGCGGAGCACTGTAGGGACTGGGTGGGGCTCACGTGGCCGCCCCGGGCCAGACCCCGCCCCTGCCGGGCCTGATCCGGGGGGGCGGGCCCTGGGCTGTCCATCTCCAGCGCCGCCGCCGCGGAGTGGCGCGCGCGGTGGCTCTGGGTCAGCTCAGGGGGTGGGGCGAGGCGCCACAGCCAATCGCGGGGCGCAGGACCCCCGGCCGGGCAGGGCCCGCCTCTGATTGGTCGTCTACAGCAACACCTCAGCCTGGGGGCGGGGCCGCGGGGCGGCAAGAGGCCTGGACTGCGGGAGGCGAGGTGGGTGCGGAGAGGGGCGCGCAGGTGAGCGGGCGCGGGGCGCAGGTGGGGGGCGCTCAGATGAAGCTGGCGGGGGCGCGCAGGGTGAGGCGGCGCGCGCAGGTCCGGGGAGATGTGCGGACGGGGGCGAGGGCGTGCTCAGGTCAGGGGGATGTGCTCGCAGGTGGGAGAGCGCACCCAGGTCTGGTGGGATGTGCGCGCAGGTGTGGGGGGCCATGCGCAGGCAGGGAGGAGATGCGTGCTCAGGTTGGCAGGGGGCGCGTGCGCGCAGGTGAGATTGGGGCGGGGGCGCGTGTGTTCAGGTGAGGAGAGGCCGGAGGTGTAGGGCCCGTTGGCCCACCCGAGACGACCCGACGGGGACGCTCTGTCCCCCAGGTGGTCCGGGGCGAGGCGGAGCCGGGGGCGCGC